TCAATCAGCATTTATTCTGTTTCATCGTTTTTTACTTCATCATTCATTATGACTTCAGGATTATTTCTACAGAAAACTCATATAAAGCTGTTAGTAACAACTGACAGCTTTATGGTGCATGTGTGTGTGTGTGCGTGTGCATGTGTGTGTGTGTGAGAGAGAGACAGAGAGAGAGAGAGAGAGAGAGAGAGAGAGAGAGAGAGAGAGAGAGAGAGAGAGAGAGAGAGAGAGAGAGTGTGTGTAAGTGTGCTGTTCATATAAAAATCCCGACGCGACAAAAACCCTGAAAGTTCAAAACTTTGTGAGTTTTTGCTGCAGAGAATCTCGAATCACAAAACAAAGTTTAGTCTCTAAGAAAACGTTTCTCAGTTGAACAGTCCTTAAAATAAAAGTGTTTTCATTCTTAGAGACAATCTTAGTTTAAAGAGAGTGAACAAGAACCTACCTGCTCCTCTGCCAATCTGAAAGAATGAGTACACCTGGGCAGGTAACAGCACACCTGAGACACACATACCCTCAGGCTGCTCGATGGAGAGAGAGAGAGGGGGGCGTGTTAGAGTTTTTTTCAGAGCACTTTCATTTGCTGTAATAAAATGTAATAGAAGTTTTCATATTTTCTCCATTTCCATCAGTTCATTATAAATGCATTAAAACAGAAAGAACTACAACAGTCTTCACTTCACAACCCAGAAAACTCTCTGACTCATTCGTTCACTTTGGCTGAACAGACGTTTGCTGAATACTTGAACCTTTATCTCTCACTCTGTTTTTACCTGCAGATAAAAATCTGATCTGAGGATCCTCTGGACTTAATAACTGAACTGTCCACAGTCCAGAAAAAAAACCCTTTTTCTCTTATGATATTGTACATTCATGTGTGTTTGTGTGCACATGATGTAAACTGGCCCTATAATCTTCCAGTATTTTGATGATTAACACATTTCTGTTTGACAAACTGTGAATAAATTGAGTCTTAATTCCTGTTAAAATATCAGAAAAATGACTCGTTCTCGTCATTTCTAACTCTTAGTCCTAAAACTAAGTGTGATTTATGGAGCTTTTAAAAAATGGGGTTAATACCCATGAAACATTTTCAGTGCTGGTATTGATAACTGTGTCATACTACAGACATCTTGGTATCTGACTCCTTGAAACCATGGTAACTCATCCTGATTTAGCAGACTCTGACAACCTTCACACTGACTCTGACCGCGACTCCCCTTCCCAGACCGCTGTATGAAAGACTGATGATGTTTGAGACTGTGTTAAAGATGACTCACCGTATTTGAAGCTGACTCATCGTATTTAAAGCTGACTCACTGTATTTATAGCTGACTCATGTTTATTTTTGTACTTCATCAGATTTTCGGAGAACAGACTTTGGGAGTTCCTGAGGATCACAGAGTCACAGACAGTCACACAGGTGAGGTTAGGGTTAGGGTTAGGTATAGGGGGTTTGGAGGAGACCCACCCCCTTGGTAACTTTTGAACGGAAGGTCGTAGAGCGCTGAAACTTGCACTTTGGGGGGGTGGAAGATTTTTCTGAGTCCAACTCCCGAGTCTCTAGGACGTTCCTGAAAAAAGTTGATTTTTTTCCCATAGGAATGCATTGGAGAAAAATCTGAGAATTTTACTGTGTCGACCGAATTTTTCACCTTCCAGAATTGTGCTAGGAGCACGTTTCAGGCCACGGGGAGTCCATAGAACCTGATTCTGGGTGAAGTTTCTGGGGGTTGAAACGAGGAGCTCGGAGGCAGGGATATAGGGGTATGTGCCACTTTTGACATGCCGGTTCATTGCCTTTCCCAATGATGAACCGGGCTGAGATTTGGTCTACCCCCCCATTTTCGGGTATGCTGAATCTAGAAATACTAATGAACCAGCGATCGGACATTCCTATCAAAAGTTATGGCGAAGTGAAAATTTCCCATTGAAAATGAATGGGAGCGGAAAATGGCCAAAGTCAGTGTTTCCAAGTGTTTGACTTTGTCTGGAAATGTTGAAAATGGGTTGTGAGCACGTTTCAGGCCATTTCCTGTCGTTTGAGGGTTAGCCTCTCAGAGTGCTCCTGTGTTAGGGTTAGGATTGGGGAATGACTCCCGTCTCCCTCTAAGTTATGACCCTGCTTGGGTCTTCAAGGAGTGGGGCGTGCACGGGTCTTCGCCCCACCGGACACACTCCCCCGGTCCCACTAAGAACACTACTTATATATTATAAATATTGTTTTTGAGTTGGCTTTAATGGGTTGAGTTATTGTTTTTAAATATCTTACATTTTTTAAACTGTTTTTTACACACAAACACACAATACATGAACTACACATGAACTATGTACAAACAATGTGTGCATCATCGACAACGTTTCGACCCGACTTGGGTCTTCTTCAGGTCTGTGCACACATAAAAAAAGGGCTGCTGGGCACCAATTCATAGGTGTTGACAGCAGCTAAAAAAAGAAGAAATGTCCCTGTTCCCTTCTCACCTTTTATACCTTTTAACAA